TTAAAGAACCTTTGACTTAATGGTTCTTTGTGGAACCAAAAATGGTTCTTCTATGGCATCGCTGTGAAGGACCTTTATTTTTAAGAGTGTAGATGTATCAGGTACAGATTAAATGTAGTTGATTCAGTTCAGTTGAAAACTAAAGACGGTGATATAATCTGTCAGCAAGATAAACGCGCTGCTGATTCCAAGAAGAAATAAACACAAACACCTGCGTCTAAGGACTTTTCTGGAAGTTTCAAACCCCTGCTTGTGATGATGATGATGATGATGATGAAGGCCGGCTCACCTGGATCAGGTTTCCAGCGGTCACCAGAGCTGATCCCGGTCTGAGGAGATCTGTGCCGCGCGTAACATAGGAAATGAAAGCAAGAAACGGCATTAGTTTAGTGTTTCATGCAGAAAAGTAAGATATAGGGGTTTTGAGGTTGATATGGTTTATTTTGAATCGATGAAGACCACCACAACGCCGGCCAATCAGGAGAGCCTGCGGATATTTAGGATCAATAATTAGGCTCCAGACAGGTTTGGCGAAGCCGTTTAAATAATTGATGGAAGTTGAACGAGCTCGAGTCGTACAGTCGTCATAACCAGCAGCAGAAGGACATTTGCATTGGGTTTCTATTAAAAGCTTCTAATTAAAGCGCTGGTGATGTTCAAGGGTGTTGCGGTGACACACTAGTCATTAATGGGGCTAAAAGCTTCATCTGCTGGTAACAAATGATCCCAGAGACAGATGGATGACCTTCAACAGCAGAGAGCCGCACAGAAAAACCGTCTTAAGATCATTACGCCATCTTTAACTCACCTTCATGTCGTCCCAAAACCTGTATGAGTTTCATTCTTCTGTTGAAAACAAAACACCATATTCTGAAGAATGCTGGGTGTAGCAAACAGGTGACGGTACCCATTGACTTCCATTGTATTACTATCAGCGACTATTTAGTTACCATCATTCTTCAGAATATCTTCTTTTGTCTTCAGGAGAAAAAAAAGAAACTCATTCAGGTTTGGTGATGATGATCATTTTCATTTTTTTCATTCGAACACATTTCATAAGCATTCTTATCTTTTTGTTGCACATAACAACATTTGATGTGCTTTCTGTATTTTTCTGTAATCACTATTTATATGCAAGTTGCAGTAATAATTTCTGCAAAAAAATTTACAAATTTTTGTCTTGTTTTCCAGAACAAATATATAAACGTTCTTAAATCAAGATACATTAATACACCAGATATTAAGTCTTGTTTTCTATATCAAGATTAAATACGTTTTTGCTTAAATTCCTTGACCCCTTTTCCAGTCTATACTCCAGTCATCTCTCTCTCTTTCTCTCTGTCTGTTCCATTAGTCTGACTGAGAGCCATGACTGAATGCTTTCTGACAGCCATAGCTGATAAATAAAGCAATTGACAGTCTGAATGCTTCCCTCTATAGAGACTCAACACACACACACACACACACACACACACACACACACACACACATACACACACACACACACACAGACAGAGCGCAAGATAAATCATTGCTTTATCCTCATAACACATTCAAGTCTGTTTTGACCTGGAAGAGATGCATAAAAATGTCTTTTTGTAAGTTTTTAGTAAGGGAACGGAATGTAGCAAACGCTTTAAGAGTCTCAAAATACACATCATTTATTTTTTTCAGATTTTTTCCAATCATTTTTTAAGAGATATTAACCATTTAAAATGTTCGGGTCATTTTGACCTGGGTATGTATGGAGCACCATTAGTGTCAAAAATACTTTCTGTTAAATGATCTATGAAGTTATATTAGTGTCAAAATTTTTTTAAAAATATATTTCAGATTTTCCCCATATCTGAATTTTGTTGATGAACATGAATATGCTCATGAAACATTAATCACACATCACTTTTTCATCTGAAAGTGAAAGTTTATGCAAGTGAAATGAATTTATTTTGACTGAAAACTTTTCAGAGTAATATTTAAGTTGTTTTGATGTTGTTTTGTTGGAAATAAATATGTAGGTTTCATACATTTGGACTGATTTTGAGCAGTTCAGAGGAATTTAATTTCCATTCATTCCAATGGGGTTAATACTGATTCTCAGATTATATGTTTATATAAATTTCATACTAAATTTCATATATATATATATATATATATTGCATCACAGTTTTTTTGTGTGGTTCGTGTAAAATTTGAAATGTCAAATAATTTATAAAAAGGTGTGAATGCTGTAATAACATGGTAGCATTCAAAACTTTTTTTCACATTCACTCATTTGAGTTTGAGTTGATGTCGAATGCATTATGAGGGCTAAACCCGTCAGAACGAGGCGTGATGATGGAGAAAATCATTAGCAGGTTAAGTGCTGATGTGTTTTTGGAGATGACCTGCCAATGGAGGACATTCGAGCCGCGCTTTCATTTGCAGAGAATGTCAGAGACTAAATGTCAGAGAATAGGTCAGACGGCACTCAGGGGCCCGAACACATCCAAACAGATCCGTTACCATTCATTTCACACAGCTAAAGTATTACGGGTGGAACGATTAGAGGCGATCAGAGTTTAATCAGCTTCCTCATTAACGGACAGACATTAAACTCGGCGGTAATGACGCTGACCAGCAAACGAGCGCTGAAGCAGTTCACTTGATAATCAATTCATATCAGCATTATTTGCTTGATTAATTGAATAAAAAGATTTTATTTCCAGCATTTTAGTGAAAAGCAAATTATTCCTCATGTTGAGAATTGATAACCAAATGTAAAAACAGTGTTATTTGAGTATCACTGATTATTGTTCCATTATATATTTTTAATTAGATTTTATTTTTATATTTTCTAACTGATTTTAGCTAAAGTTTTTTTGTAAAGTAATTTATTAATTTTTTATTCATTTTAATTAGTTTATGTTATTGTTATAAACTAATATTATTGAGTTATTTTAGTACTTCAACTTAAACTAAATGAAAATGAGAAATGAAATAGCTGAAATAAAATAAATTTAGTTTTTTAATACATTTAATTTGATTTCAATTAATGTTTATTTTATTTCAAATAACAAAAATATTTTTATTTTATTTTATTCTAGTTTAGTTTAGTTTTAGCTAACTATAATAACCTTGAGTAAAAATGATTTCAAATACAAACGTTTAAATAAAGGAGCTCAGACCAAACTAATCAATCACACATACAAACTATTTTCACTACATTTTCATTGACAAGTAGTTGCAGTTACTTTAGAACTATCATTCATATATTATAGTTATAATAATGAATTTAATATATTTTATAATAATGAATTTAAAAATATATTTCAGATTTTCCCCATATCTGAATTTTGTTGATGAACATGAATATGCTCATGAAACATTAATCACACATCACTTTTTCATCTGAAAGTGAAAGTTTATGCAAGTGAAATGAATTTATTTTGACTGAAAACTTTTCAGAGTAATATTTAAGTTGTTTTGATGTTGTTTTGTTGGAAATAAATATGTAGGTTTCATACATTTGGACTGATTTTGAGCAGTTCAGAGGAATTTAATTTCCATTCATTCCAATGGAGTTAATACTGATTCTCAGATTATATGTTTATATAAATTTCATACTAAATTTCATATATATATATATATATATATTGCATCACAGTTTTTTTGTGTGGTTCGTGTAAAATTTGAAATGTCAAATAATTTATAAAAAGGTGTGAATGCTGTAATAACATGGTAGCATTCAAAACTTTTTTTCACATTCACTCATTTGAGTTTGAGTTGATGTCGAATGCATTATGAGGGCTAAACCCGTCAGAACGAGGCGTGATGATGGAGAAAATCATTAGCAGGTTAAGTGCTGATGTGTTTTTGGAGATGACCTGCCAATGGAGGACATTCGAGCCGCGCTTTCATTTGCAGAGAATGTCAGAGACTAAATGTCAGAGAATAGGTCAGACGGCACTCAGGGGCCCGAACACAGCCAAACAGATCCGTTACCATTCATTTCACACAGCTAAAGTATTACGGGTGGAACGATTAGAGGCGATCAGAGTTTAATCAGCTTCCTCATTAACGGACAGACATTAAACTCGGCGGTAATGACGCTGACCAGCAAACGAGCGCTGAAGCAGTTCACTTGATAATCAATTCATATCAGCATTATTTGCTTGATTAATTGAATAAAAAGATTTTATTTCCAGCATTTTAGTGAAAAGCAAATTATTCCTCATGTTGAGAATTGATAACCAAATGTAAAAACAGTGTTATTTGAGTATCACTGATTATTGTTCCATTATATATTTTTAATTAGATTTTATTTTTATATTTTCTAACTGATTTTAGCTAAAGTTTTTTTGTAAAGTAATTTATTCATTTTTTTATTAATTTTAATTAGTTTATGTTATTGTTATAAACTAATATTATTGAGTTATTTTAGTACTTCAACTTAAACTAAATGAAAATGAGAAATGAAATAGCTGAAATAAAATAAATTTAGTTTTTTAATACATTTAATTTGATTTCAATTAATGTTTATTTTATTTCAAATAACAAAAATATTTTTATTTTATTTTATTCTAGTTTAGTTTAGTTTTAGCTAACTATAATAACCTTGAGTAAAAATGATTTCAAATACAAACGTTTAAATAAAGGAGCTCAGACCAAACTAATCAATCACACATACAAACTATTTTCACTACATTTTCATTGACAAGTAGTTGCAGTTACTTTAGAACTATCATTCATATATTATAGTTATAATAATGAATTTAATATATTTTATAATAATGAATTTAAAAAGCATTTAAAATCGCTGTGTAGTACAATTTTCACTCATAAATTACAAAGAAATGAGAAGTAATACATTAAATTAAATGAGAAACTTTGAAGCAGAAAGACTCAAATAGTATCTTCTCGTAAAATGCACTCCAATAATCTTCAAAATCATTTTGTACAGTTCAGTCTGGATTTCATACGCAGTTCATGTTGTTCTCGTGATCTCGCTGTAATGTGAGGATTCATTCATGCTGGATTATAGGACTCGGAGTTTGTAGAATATCTCTGTCCGGTGTGTTTTTAGTACCGTCTACGCAGGACGGAGCCGCTCTGGTGGTTCCTGCCACTTGTCCCGGGAAACACGAGCACTTGACGGTCTGCGAACGCTCCTCGATCTTGTTCTTATTGCAGCATCGGTGTAACGCCACCACCTCACACGTTCCCGTCCGCACGTCACGCACCACTGCAACACAACACAACCTTCATCACTTTCACTGAAAACAACAAAAACAAAATAAACCTTTTAAATTTTATTTCAGCTAACATTTCTCATTTTCACTTAGTGTAACTTGATTTACTAAAACAACTAAAAGTGGAATAAAATTCATGCAAATTTTAGAAATTATTATCAGAAATATATATTTTTTAAATCTATTTGAAAATTTTTAAAAACTAATAAAAATGACAAAAAACCCATATACAACAAAATTGCTAACACTTTAGCTAAAATTTAAATTGAAAAAGAAAATATGAAATTTAAACTAATTCAAAATATGAATAAATATGATAATAGTACCACAATGAAACTAAAATAATGCTGGACCACAATCATCATAATAGACATAAAAAAAAAAGTAAATTAATTTTTTTAAACAAAAAAAAAATTTAAAAACAGAAAAGAAAGAAAGAAAGAAAGAAAAAGAAAAAGACAAACAATAAAATAAAATAAAATGAAATAAAATACATTTAGTAAAAGCCACATAATGTCAATGAAACTAAAATAGCACTGGACCACAATCATCATCATAGACATTAAAAAAAAAAAATTTAAACAATGCAAAGTAAAAAAACATTACAAAGAAACAAACAAGTACATAAAATAATAATAATAATAATAAAAATAAACTGAATAAAAACCACATAATGTCAATGATACTAAAATCCCAGACCATTGGGACAAGACCACGGGAACCAGATGAGTCCTCTGCACAATCTGACTTTGCTGCAGCCTAGAATTTAACTGCTGGTCTCGCCTGGCCAGAGGAGAACAGCACACTATCTTGACACACTATTTCCCTTTTTTTAATACTGTAAAGCTGCTTTGACACAATCTGCATTGTAAAAAAGCGCTATATAAATAACGGTGACTTGACTTGACTTGACTAAAATAACATTGGACCACAATCATCATCATAGACATAAAAAAAAGTACATTAATTTTTTTAATAAATAAATATTTAGAAAATAAATAAAATAAAAAATAATAAAATAAAATAAAATAAACTGAATAATAACCTCATAATGTCAATGATACTAAAATAGCACTGGATCATCATCATCATCATCATAATGATTGATTAGTGGACACAGTGAGTGACGAGCTCAGCTAAACTCCATAAACTCTAAACACTTAACTCTTCAGTACTAAAGCTGTATTCATGAAGCCAGCGCTGTGAGCGACTGAAGGAGCGCAGGAGGAGGCGCCGCTGAGTCTCGCTCGCTGTCCTTCTAGCCGCTCAATTATTCACACGCTGCGGCACTCTGCACTTTTAACTGCTGCTGACATTTCTATGAGACGCCTGTGTGTGAGTGTGTGTGTGTGTGTGTGTGTGAGTGTGTGTGTGCAGTAAACAGCTAATTAAGAGTTTGCATAGCGGACTCAGAGCGGACGAGCTTTTCTAATTAAACTGCATCTGCATGAGTTGTACTAGCGAGATCTGCTGGGATCGGTGGCGATCGAACAGGAAACAGGAAGTGCACTGCTGTGATTTCCTCTGCTGAACTATGTTTCTAAGCGTCTCTGCTCTGATCACGTAATCAGACGGATGGCGACAAACCAAACCTGTAAATTAAATTAAGATGCATTGACTTGAGAAGCAAAATGACTGAAGATATAAAAGTTTTCTAAAAAACAAATGTCTGCCAATGGGGTCAAAAATACTTCATTCAAAGGGAAAACAAGATTATTTTTCTGACCTCAATGGCAGATATTTGTTCTTGTTTTACATATAATTTTGATACGTTTTTCAGAATATCTTCAGTCATTTTGCTTCTCCAGTAAATGCAACTTGATTTAATAACGTTTAGATGTTTGTGCTGGAAAACAAAACAGAAATACTGAGGAAGAACATCAGTTCTGCAGTGAAATGAAGTCTATGGGTCGACAATCACATGAGACATTATTGAATATCATGTGCGTGAATGTTATCATTAACTAAAACATTTTTGTTCATTGAAATAAAATTAAAATATAAATACTAGTTAAAAAACTTTCAAAAAATCGTAAAAGTAATTTTACTAAATTAAAACTAAAATAAAATTAAAAAATTATACAAATAATACATTTAAATCAAATAAAAACTTTTATATACATTTTATAAATAATTAATTAGAAAATATGCATAAAAATTAAATAATAAATCTAACAACAGTACAAGAACATCAGTTCTGCAGTGAAATGAAGTCTATGGGTCGACAATCACATGAGACATTATTGAATATCATGTGCGTGAATGTTATCATTAACTAAAACATTTTTGTTCATTGAAATAAAGTTAAAATATAAATACTAGTTAAAAAACTTTCAAAAAATCGTAAAAGTAATTTTACTAAATTAAAACTAAAATAAAATGAAAAAAATTATACAAATAATACATTTAAATCAAATAAAAACTTTTATATACATTTTATAAATAATTAATTAGAAAATATGCATAAAAATTAAATAATAAATCTAACAACAGTACAATAGTACTGCCGCGTATGATTCAGGTTTGAGACCCACCCTGATATTCCCTGGATTGTGCTGGAGATCCCAGGAGGAGAGCCAGGAGGAGGACCTGAGTGAGAACTTTCTGAAGATCCCTCATGCTCATCCTGCACACAAACACACACACATCAGACACAGAGAACGTCTTCACTGTGGCACCCATCCGCTTCCAATGGATTCATTCAAAGTGAACTTAGTTTGCAGGGAAAATCCCAGGTTTTCTCATTAGACTCATGCAGAAACACATTCGCTCCAGAGCTGAGCCTCGTTAGGCGTCATGTAAACGATCTCACTCACACTGATGGTAATTACTGGCAGCTGGGCGTATCGCTTACACATGGGTTATGAACTGATATTTGCTTTCTATATTCCATTACGGAGGTGCTGGAGATCTGACCGTTTGTTTTCCGATCGGTATTAGAATTGTGGTTGAGTAATGAGTTTTAGATCATCTGAGACTGACACACACACACACACACACACTCAGAAACACACACACACACACACACACACACACACACACACACACACACACACACGCACGCACA